GGTTCAACTGGCACTAGAATCTTGTCTAAAAATCACTCTCTCCCCCCTAGCAGTTAAAAATTTTCTACCTATTGCTGGAGTCTGGATGTGTTTTGCTCAAGTTCCAAGTTGGACTGATTTGTGTGCCCTTGGTGCAGCTCAAGCCACTCAATTCGGTCATTTCTCGCTGGCACATCCAGTCTCGTAGCTTCTTACGTGCGGCGGTCCTCGCATGCCTTGGGCCGCCGGAATAAGGAATTCTTCTTCTTCATTTCTTTCAAAACCTTTCTATACAGTCGGTTGGGTAGAGTTCAGACTTCTACGAGGATTCTGTGTCGAATACAGTACTTTGGGACATCTTGCATTATTCCCTACTGCATCGTACACAACATCAATATTCCTATTGTATAGGGTCATTCCCTTTCCATGTGGATATGGATTGTCCGGCAGACTTGGGTCAAATCCTGACATCACGATCAAAATCCGATTGTGCATGTCAAAAATTTGTACTTGAATAGTTTCTTTTGGAACATAAAAACTCATATTTCGTCATATCCCAACAGTAAAGGTAAAGGTAAAGGTAAAGGTAAACCAAAAGATTGAAAGAAGAAAGCAGAATGTTATGTATGTGGCAGCAAGGACCATATGTCCAACAAATGCCCAGACAGACTGCTACCAAAGATTCAATGGAAAAGAGCCGGAAAAACATGGTCCTTCGCTCATTTATGTGCGACCGAGAGACGTAACGGACGAACCATAGACGATAGCTGCAGAGTGGCGGGGGCCATTTTTTTAGTGTTCGAAATCACCCTGTTCGTTGAGCAATCGGACAGAGATACCATTTATTTATACATGCAACATCGAAGACACTTAGATTATTGATCTGCCATGCCAAAGGAGAGAAAGAAAAGTGAGCACGAGTCAAGAAAACGTAGACTATTGAGCCCTTTTCGAATAAAAGTGGGCTGTGTCGTAGCATTAAGGTTTCGTATTGACGGTAATCATATAGTGCATGAAGCTTCACAAGGTTTTACAAGCTTTGAAAAAAATGTATTTGATTTGAAAAAGAAGGCGTTCAACGATGTTTGGTGTGATCCAAAGCCAGGATATGATAGAGGCTTCAACTTAGTGGGGAGATACATACGCTGTTGCTTCCCGAAATTGGTGCTCTCAAGTTCGTTCCACGTACCTGAGGCTTCAACTCAATTCCTGGAGGGAGAAATTGTGTCAACAGTCAAAGACGAGTCTCAGACCATCTGCTCAAAATTGTCGTATCGTCAAAAGGAAGGCCGTGGAACGGCTGTAGGTATGTGATATGTATGCGTTGATTTATTTACTTGAACGCGCATTGAAAGCCGAACTTTGAACCAATTTCAATCATCTCTGTTTTTGACAGACCTGCTGATTTCGAAAGAGTGTTTCAAATCGATGCCATTCCTTTTGAGATTCAGAATGGATTCGGATGTCGACACATCACGACTTGACGAATCCTCGAGAAGGCATCATCTAAACGAATTGCGCATTAAGGGGTCAGGCAAAGCTATTGTTAGAGTTGTTTTGTCTGGAATGAAGCAACAAAAAGGCGACGACCGCTTGGTTGTTAGATGGGTAGTTCGAAAGAGAATATTTGTCGGGAATTTGATACCGTCTAAAACAGGAAACGAGGCGACAAAAGGGGTAGGTGACGCTATAGCTATATCATCGCAAATACCAAAGAGGCGAAAGATTGCAGATTCCAGGCAAATGTTTATAGGGGATGGATATGACACAGAATTGCAGCAGCGAACAAACTGGCGATGGTTTGCAAGCAAATTTAATCCAATGTCATTTGCTCGCACATTTCGGATACCATTCGAGTTTTTTGGGTGCGCGATTTCACAGGCTGTTGGTGAGTTCTTATCTTCCCATCTCAAGAGACAAATTCATCAATCGCAACGAGAGACTGACACCACTGTACCCGTGCCATTTATTAGGGGAAGTTGTCAGAATAATTCCAGAACCTCCGGATTCAGCCAGTCTAGCAATGGTGACAGTCAGGCGTCTTGTTTTACCGGAACACACTCTTGTGGGTCGACTCTCCAGTCAACGAGACAATGCAGTCTTTCAAGACTTCGATGATTCGAAAAGATTCTACAACAACGGCCAAGCTTTACCAGAGGAAGAAAGAGAAACTGGATCGGCTTTATTCAATGTACCTATTGAGGAAATTCTTGTGATCAGCAAGAAGATCCATGATGGTGCAGCCGTGCAACAGAATGAAACCATCAGAGGATTGGTGTTGACAGATGCCTATTCCTTGGACCAAAATGAGTTCTTCAATTTCAATCAAGAGGCAACCCATCAATTTGTTTCTGCTCAAAATATGAACCATCAGGGCCTGTCCGATGGCGCCGATTTGTTTCAGGAAAAGGGGACAACGAAATCGTCGACGCCAACTAGAGGAGCACCAGACTGTTTCGGAAGCTACAATTCGCCTTTGCAGAATCATCAGAAACTATTTGATTTTGCAGTTTCAGCAGCAACAACCAGTCATTCAATACAAGCATCTATGGATGAGAGGTCAACATTTTGGACAACACAGGGCCTTTTGAAGCTTATCCCAAACCTCGATTTTTCCATCAATCATCATGATTTCATCCCGCTGACCAACCTTGCATCATCAAAACCCAACTTTAAAAAAAAAAAAAATATTTCAATAAAATCGAAACGGAACCTGGGAATCAACACTTTGCCCTCTCCTGCTTCTACAACAGTGAAAGCCGCTTTGCCAGTGAGACCACAGGGCATCCCGTCAGTGCAACCCCCTTCACAACACAACAATGTTGATACACCTCTCAGGAACTGCAGCCGCACGTTCCAATTCAACCAGCAGACACGGGGTTTTGAAGCTGGAACTCTTGAATTGACCGATTTTCATGACAAGGTCAACTCTCCACCTGAAAAGGTGCGCAACTGTAGACCACATGTGATTCCCCTGACGCGAAGGAACCAAGATGCACACCCGAGCAATCGGGCACTGCGCGCAAATCAGCGCCGTCTCCTCCGCAATGTTGTATCAATTGGACTAAACGTCGATACGTTAGCAGGTCGCGATTATGAGGAGCATTTGAGATTCGATAGAAGCAATATTCACGCTTGGGGCGTCTTCACTGACAAGGAAATCAAGCAAAACCAAATGATCGTAGAATACAGGGGCGAGATCATTGGAAACTCCGTGGCAGAGAAACGAGAGCTAGAATACGTCAAAAGCAATATTGGAAGCGACTACATGTTCCGTATTGATGCGTTCACTGTTTGCGATGCTACTAAACAGGGAAACGTCGCTAGATTCATCAATCATTCCTGCAACCCTAATTGCTTTACAAAGATCATTTACATCGAGGGCATTCGTCGAATTGTGATCTATGCCAAGCGAAATATCGATTTCGGGGAAGAATTAGGTTACGACTACAAATTTCCTCTTGAATACGATCCCGAAAAGAGAATTGAATGTCATTGCGGTGCCAGAATTTGTAGTGGGTACATGAACTGGGTAAGCGCTCGGTTTTCGCGGCATTCTTAGACATGCAGTACTGCTCTGTGTTCTCACCTTTCATTTTCAACAAAAATCAAGGATAAACGCTACAATGCTTCCATAGATTCTGAGACAGGTACATAAAATCGGGCTTGATAAAAGGTTTACGATAGACTATCGATGGCTCGTAGGACAAGACGTTCGTTCTATAGAACAAATTTAACAGCACAACACTTCTTCCATAATTGTCGGTTGCGACTCATTGATCCGCGCAATCCCGTTTTGCACTAGCCTAGTTCCGGAGCAATGGCGCCAATGGAATCCCAATTCTCTTCTGCTTGATCAAACTCATCCAAAGCCATATTTATTGTTCTAGGAGCAGTCCGACAACGATGACTGTATCAGTGCAAATCATATCGTGACATGAGCGATCGACTTTGTTTACAATCAAACTGACAGATCTGGATCCGTAGACTTTACGAGGGAAATTAGTGGTTCAAAGGACCCAGAAGTAATCCATCATATTGTTGAGGCAATTGCTTCACTAGCTACAGTCGGTTTGAACTTCGAGGTTTGAATGTCTTTTGCTCTGTTAAAATCAAAAACACTTTCTTAAGATCTCGTGTTAGCACGTGCCTCGGCTTCCCATTATAGGCTTTTAACCAAAGGGACTTTGAAAAGGGAGCAGATCGTGCGAACGAAGCCTCGTAAGTCGACCATGTTTCCTAGGTAGCTTTGAAGCGGGAGTAGCAGGTTTAATTGTTGCCAGAATCGTCGTTGTTTCAATCTCGCCAGTCCTTTCGAGGAAAGCAGTGAAGTAGGGCGGTTTGTGAACAGAGTTGAGTTCTGCGCTGCATTAGACGCAGCTGGTCCATCGTTGGTGAATCGAATGTTCTCTTCCACAAGCCCGAATTCGGTATTGCACCTGAATAACCTATTTGGACAAGACCATAGGTTGTTGAAAATGTGACTGATTGCGAGCTGGTGATGGCTTTATTCATGGCGTTTGCCAAATATCTTCTTTTGACACGAACCGCTCTCCCAGCAAACTTGATCAAGAGCTGTAGGGTGCGATGTCAAAGAAGTGGTCGATGATGCTTACGTGCGCAGTCTCCTTTGCACATGGTTCAATGAAGGCCTCTGTAAAATCATCCGAAATGCTTGGAGGAGTCCAGAATCGAACGGAGTCCTTCGGCCGGGTTGGCGGCGATGAAAAGAGCCGTTGAATCCTTGAGTTCCAAAGCGTAAAAGAAGCAGCCCAGAATCAAGCATGCCTAAACTCAAGAGGTACATTGGCAATTACGATGGGGACGACGAAGCTCATGGCAAGCTCCATGCGTCTGCTGATTTCAACCGACCAGTGGAAGAGCGCTAGTGCACAGATCTCGTATGGTTGATCTTGTTGTACCTTCCCAAAGCGAAGTTGTTTGGTGGGTTCGGAGCGCGATCGCTTTCCAGAAAGAGACGTCTTCCATTGTGGGATATGCCTACGAAAACAATCAATATTTGATGTGTGAATGGGGAAGGCAAATTGAAGTTTGTGGAATTGGAATTGCATTGGCCATTGGTTTTTTTTTAACCTACCTGAGTGAACCTTGAAAATAATGCCATCTCTTGGGTTAGGGTTAGATTGGGCAGTGGCGGCAGAGTAAATGACCATATCTATTTTTTATTCTGGTAAAAAATATAAGAAATTGCCAACGGTGGCAGAGCTTTCTATTCTTTCGGATTACATCATCAGACTCAAACCGAGAGAGTTCAACTTGTTCACAGCGATGACTGTTGAAACTGCTGCTTTGAACTTTCGTTTCGCATTGAACTTCTTGAATTCTTGCAAGTTTACACCAAGATCTTTCTGTGCCAAGGACGCGTCGTCCCCTTTGATCCATGAATTTTCTAACGCTTCTTTTGCATCAAGTCGCTTCTTTGGATCGACAGTCAATAAAGACGAGATAAGGCTTTTGGCTTCTTCGGAAACAGTTCCCCAGTATTCTTCATGGAACTCATACTCTCCTCTTCTGATTTTTCTAAACAAATCTCTCTGTGTACTTTCAATGAAAGGAGGATACCCTCCGAGAAGAATGTAGAGGATTACTCCAACTGACCACATATCTGCCCTTTGATCATAAGGGGTCCCTTCGAGAATTTCTGGTGCGACATAACCAGGTGTTCCACATTGAGTCGACAAAGAGCATTCCTCCTGTACTTTCTTCGCGAAACCAAAGTCGGCAATCTTGACAGCAGAATCATCGTCCTTGCTTTGTAGCAATAGGTTTTCTGGTTTTAAATCTCTATGTGCAACACTATTATAGTGCATGTATCCAACTGCATCAAGGATTATTTTGCATGTGTCGCGGGCCTCCTTTTCATTGTAGTATGCCTTCGCAACGATGCGATCAAACAGCTCTCCTCCAGTCATTTGTTCCAACACTAAGTAGTAAGTTGAAGGTTCCGTAAAAAAATCATACAGACGAATGATGTGATCGTGATTCATCTCCATTAGAATAGATACTTCATCTAGAAGCGCCGCTTCATCCTCTTCGGACAGCTTTTTGCGATTTACACACTTTACAGCGTACGATGCACCATTTTTCGACCGATGAAATCCTTCGCGGACGGTTGAGAAAGCACCCGTTCCAAGCTGAGGAAATTAGAGACAGACATGATGTCAGTCACCGATGCATGATATCGACGAATTGAAAGCGGATTTCATTTACTTACAACTCCTTTCAGGCGGTATAGCTCATCAAACCGCTGACCTTTCGAAGAATTAGGGGGCTTCGACTTTGATGACTTCGAAGACATCAGTTGATATGCTTTTCGTTCTTGGCGTTCTGAGGATGTTGCCGCTACGAAGAAAAGTCGGCTGTTTGAGCGGGTTAAAGAGGGCTTTCAATGCCGGTCATCTTGCGGGTCACTTGTCACTTCCCCAAATCGTGTACTCGTATGAGTCGAATAAACTACTCGTACGAGTCTGTCAGTTGCATCGAAGTTTTTCATCACTTCATGTACAGTACGCTGTACCGGTCGGTACTGTACAGTACCACTTTTCACGTGCACACCGTAAGTAAAGCAAAGAAGGCGGGCCACTTTGCAGACCATATATATCATACAGTAAGGGTACCCTGTTTTGAGACTTTTTTAGTTTTTTATATAAAAAATTGTTTTGTCTCAAAACACTCTGACACCAAATCCAGGGTTTTTTCTCGGCGACTGCTCTGCCGTTTTTTGTGGGTCCAACGGGTCGACGAGACATTCCAAATCTTTCCCGCAATATTCAATATGCTCTCCCGCCGTCATTCTCCATCACTGCTCCATACCGCGGCACAGTATCTCCTGGTGCAATCCACAAAACACAAAGACTACGACACTGGATCCTTCATGGGGAGAAAAGGAATTAATGATAAAATAAAATCTCTTGGTTGCCATCCATTTATGCTTTCTTGAAATTGGTTGGTGAATTTCCGTCGTCAATCCATTGATTCTCGTCTTGTCTTATTTATTGCTGACTTCTTTGGGTTGATTGGTGTGTAAATTTGTATGATTTGTTTATTCCATGTTCAATCATTGCCACCCAGACCTCAAACTGAAATTCTGATAATTGTTGATATTAGCGAAAATACATAGAATATGGTCGATGTGCTACGGGTGTTGTTGATGTGATGCCATCGTAGAATATGGCACTGTATGAATTCGACAAGGATTGCGAACGACGATAAAAAGCAGGAGACAATTAATGCTGTTGGCACACTGTGCACTGGTACTTGATCGGCAAGACGGGAGACGTATGGGCGTTTCTAGCTCTTCCTTAGTCTCAATCTCCGTCGTGTCGATTGCGGCGCGTCGCTTCAGTGAAGTACACGGTTGGCGGACGGAGCAAAGAGTGTCGACGAAGAGGACGGAAGATTTGGAGAAGACATTGTTCGCAATGGGAGCTTGTGGGATGATGGAGACGATAGAAGG